GTGCGTGTGTGTGTGTGTGTGCACTTCTCTCGTACATGAGATAAGGGGTTCACAACCCTTGCGCGTATTCATGCCTGCAATCTCACCTGCAGTCAAGATCATGTCGGCATGAGCGCAGACTGTTTACCGGAAGTTTTGATCTGCAGCGGAGTGTGGCACTTGCATCCTACCACACTCAACGAAGCTGTGGATGCAAGTGGGAAGCAAGACCTGATCAGTCTTGTGTACCTGCCTTCGGATCAGCCAGTGGGCCCCCTGTGGCACTGGAGTAACCAATGCTAAAGTGGAAGCCTGCATGTTCGTTATAGCCGGTTTCGCGCAATGGCTCCATGTACATGACCTACATGACACAACTGATTCACACAATTTGCAACAGCTAGTGTAACGTCCCTTGTGGACATCCATCCGAGAGTGTAGACAACACTTTCTCTGTGTGTGGGTGTGTGTGTGTGTGCGCGCGCACGTGCGTGCGTGCGTGCGTGCGTGCGTGTGCGTGTGTATGCGTGTGTGTGTGTGTGTGCGTGTATTTATATATATATATACATACATATATATATAATATAAAAATAACCAAATAAAATAAATATATATATATATATATACATTTTTTCTTTATTTATATATTTACTTATATATATATATATATTTATATTTATCTATTTATTTATTTATTTATTTAGGGGAGGGCGTGCGCGCTTTTAGATGTTAATGCCGGTATGACTGGCATGACCGTTTTCTTCTGCACACAGACGCATGAGCAATCTTGCGCTATCACCTTGCCGGTGACAAGGGCGAATGCGATATGCGCAACAAGCCTGAACCTCCAGGAAGGTGTTGCGGACAAAGATTCGGTGATCACCTCCGCGGTGGCGACACTTCTTAGCAGGATTGAAGCAACGCACCGCATCTGTATTGTTCATCTTTTCCAACTTGCTGCATGCCAGTTATACTACTTGTGAAGCGCGTTCCAATTCACAAGCTCTGGCCATGTCTCGGCTGACACGGTGGCGCGCCTTCCAGTGTCTGTAATGGATGCAGTGTCTCCATGCCTCCAAACGATTCGGGCCGAGGCAGTGCAATCACAGCATGCATGGAAAACAGCTTTCAGACCACCTTCTCAGATCTTCCTGCCGCTGTTGCTGCAGTGCCCTCTCGTCAAACGTGCAGAGGGGCAGGTCAACCTGTGAAGAATCTGCAAAAGCAGCCACTCTCGCCGGTCAGTGAAAGGCTGCTTCAAAACAGTCTGCTTTCTCATACAGTCGAGCTAGGCAAGGCAACATGCATTGACTGGCGCTGCCATCTGGATTCCTTGTAGAAGCACATTCTGCCGAGCCTGATGCTGCAAAGCAGACGCACCAAATACCAGCACGCTGATCTGCCACACTGCGAACTGTCTCTGGGTTACAGTTTAGGCTCTAAGTATTGAAAACCTGTTTGTCTAGATTCAGACTGCCAAGTGTAGATCATGTCCCGGCGATGGCTTGTGCTTGTAAAGGCGGCGGAAATCGAAGCGCGCATAGTGCTCACCGACGCTTGCGAGGTTCTGAACAGTCATGTGGCAGTTGCAAATGGCTCATGATATGACGTTTCAATTCAATTGTCAGCAAGTCCGCATGAGGAGAGGTGTCAAGATGTCCTCGCGACTGGTGCCGTGGTGTGGCCTGACTGCGGGAGTTCTTACCGGCAGCTAGCCGCGCTGAGAGCTTGATGGACTAGAGTCTGGTGTATGCGCTGGCAAGCCCCTGCGCAGTCAGTTCTCAGGCATCTAAAGGCCATCAGCCAGAGCCCGTGAGAAACAAGAGTAGCCAGAGCCGTAGCTACTAGCTGCCCAAAGAAGTAAGTTACCAGAGTATTTTTCATGCGTCACATACGACGGAAGAAGCGCTGGCTAATGCCACGTTGAAAACGACACAACAGTAGCTGTCGCACCAATCGGACGATCCACTTGGTTTGAATACAGATCTCCCACAAGAAATGGCCCACAGCAGTTGTGACGTCGGCCGTGCTAGGCAAGGGGCTTTATCTGGCCACCACTACCAGAAAGCTGGTTGCCAGCCAGCAGCAGGCTGTGCAGCTTCTGCTTTGGTAGCATTGCTGCTGTTGCGACCAGTGTGACTTTCGATTTATCTCTCATGCTCCAGTGGAGCACTTCCGTAACACTGGCATGGCGCAAGTGGCTGCGCTTGACATCGGTGAGATGGCCAAGTAGCTTAAAAGGTATGTCAAAAAATCGGAGAGGCCGTCGGTTTGCATCCCCTTCTTGAAAGTCGTTTCCTGGGATGCACGTCTTGCACATGCCCAGTACCCTGTTCCAGGCAACGCTTCCGGATAGCACACATGCTGTGGACTGCGGGCCGCAGCCGCAGCATATGACACGAGCTAAAATCAAGAAACAGATACCGATCTGCCGCAAATACCAACGCAGCCTTCCACTAAGCACTGCATTTTCACACGCTTGTTCGCAGATTGGCAATCTGACTCAAGCAGTCTGGTGGTTAAGGTTGCTTCAAAAGTAATCGACCGTTTGTTGTCAAGTTCGCTACGTACGCTCACAATGCGTGACGTACACAAATGCCCTGACACAAAGCAGCCGGTACCAGCTAGACCGTGAGTCACTGTCGGCTCTTGAGTTTCTGCTGTTCTCTGTACACAGCAAGACATCGTTTGGCCTTGGAAATTCTGAAGAGACTCCTACTCAAGGTATTAAGGCATCTCGCCTTCACACCTTCGTGTTCAAATCCTACTGTGGTCCGGCGGAAAGTCTGCAGACATGTAAAGGGCCCTGCTCTTGAAGTACATCCAGCTACCTTGCCAGTTTGCTTGACAATAACCCTCGTCCTTGGTGGTAAAATGTTCTGGAACGGATTTCGAACTGCTTCAAGTCAAGGATCTACAGACCTGGAAACGAGCTAACTCTACATCCCCAGCAGGACACTCCTGGTCCTTTCGATTGGAGGGCAAGCTAGTGCTAAGGCTGGGAAGGCAGGCTACTACGCTTGCGTAATCAATGAACAGCACGGCACACCACAGCACGTCAACCTCTGCATAGAGAGAAGCATCAAACAATGAGTCGATAAGGAGCAGACGAAACACATAAGAGGATCAACACGCCAGCTGGGTAGCTCTGTGCTGCTTCGTAGTGCCTGCACGCTGGCTAACCTAAGGCCAAGCATGGAGAGATCTCGCGAGCAGGGCACATTCAAGCAGTGACGGTGTGGTATCTGGGCATGTGCTCGGCTTTGCCTCAGAATGCACCCTGCCGGCTTCAAACAGAAACTGTCATGTAGGAAACCGGAAGCCGTATGCCGCACCCGACAGCATCCATCGCCTTTTCTTCTTGGCTACAGAGAAAGCATATGCTTGAATGGACTACAACTATGCCATGCTTTGGGTCATTCGGCAACCTTCTCCTGCATGCCAAAGGCTACGCTCAGGACAGGGACCTGAGAACTTGCAGCTGTTTCAAGATCATGGCTTTTCTAAAGTCCCTCTTACTCCCGGGGAAAGCACAGTACGCTCTCTGCGGCGCGGCGCGACAGGTGCGCGGCAACCTGAGCGCTCCAGGGCATCATTTCAGGAACAGTTCGGACTTCCAACAGTCGACCCTTGAGCACCGGACGTGCAGAAGCTGACGTTTCAGGAAAAAGCCTCGGCAAAAGGAAAAGCCAGATTTGGGACATCAAACAGCGACAATGTGCGACGATCAGGAGTATCGCCAAGGCAATCACGGGCTTTGGGCAACGACTCAATCCTCATAGCCTCGACTGAGCCGCATCATGCAAGCACACACACCTCTGGGTCCCCTGACACTCGAGTACAGCATGCCCTCTGAGTGTGCACTAACCGACGACAACACTGCGACAGAAGTGCGCATCTGTGATTCGGCGGGGGGCTGTCAGGAGCAGCTGCCTGGAGGCGAGCCGCGAGCTCGGCACCTGTTGGAGCGAGTCTTTTGGACGCCCACGGCCACTGGATTGTTTTTGTAGGCCCGATGAGAGGTCACGAGCTGCTTGCGCAGGGTGGGGTTCACGTACCCTCGCAAACTCACACACAGACACACTTTAGAAGGCTGATCAACATGCCAACATGATTGGTAGAAGTGACATGGAAAAATCAAGTTGAAGGCGAGGCTGATGCTGATGAAGGTGCTGACGATGATGATGACGACGATGATGGTATGCAAAAAACCGATGGGAAAAACGACGCGAGGACGATTTGGTACCACGTGATTCCTCCAGACACGCGGAACTCGGAATGGCACATGAGACAAGATGCACGCTAGGTGAAGTTGTCTGTATGTGGGTTCGAGGTCCGGCCCTGCTCCCCGGATGCAAAGGCAATGGCGCAGCACGAAACGAAGATGACGCCACTCAGCTGCACAAGCAAGTTTGCACGGGTGAGAGGGTGTCTTCGTTGAGTGCCCCCCCCCCCTGCATCCCTGTCCGAGCATGGTACGTACACACACCTTTTTACAGACAGACGGACAAACAGACAGACCGATGTCAATACCGGCTTGATGCCTTTAGGGGCCCAAATACTAATAAGTGATTACGAATCCGGAGCCCGCCACCAAGAAAGACGTTATTGAGTCAGGTTGTTGTTGGGGGGCACACTACTCAGAGCTCCACATTCCCGCCGCCAGTCCTAGTCTACCTGATGTTTCACATGCAGACATCAGACTCGGAGAACCCCTGCAATATCGGGACAAAAGCTTGGACACGAGCTGTTGCCCCTCGTCCCCCTCTCTGTGAACTGAAGTAACCACAAAAAGAATCACGCACCAGCCCCCAGGGGCCTGTTACATGATTCTGGCCGAGAAATACGCGAAGTGCATCAGCTGGTGCTGCGACGGGACCTCAAGGTCGGGAGAAGCTTTGAACCAGAGCCCAGGCCAGAGTCAAATCCTGGCTGAGATGCTCCATGGGCCTGCCGTCGCTGTCGGCGACATTCCTGCGCAATTCAGCCACACTTTCCTTACTGCCCATCTGCTGGGGCTCAGGCCTACAGCAGCCATGAGCTTATCTGGCTTGTCTCCACATCTTTCGCTTCAGGCAGGTGCGTCACTCGGAGTTTCCAATCTTGCTTGGAAATAAAGCTTCACCGAACCACTCCCAACGGCCAAATCCCCCTGAGCTTGCAAGAACACGCGGAGTCGAAAAGACATGATCTAGATTTGAAGATGGAACAGAAACTTCCATCCCACGATCCTCGAACATCTCTTGCTGGTGCCAGGTGTGGTTCAAGTTCAAGCAACGTAGTACGCAAGGGAGTGGGGAAGCGGTTCAGTGTCACGTAGTCGCTCACTCACTCACATACTCGCTTGCTTGCTTTCGTGACTTGTCTCGAATTACTTGCGACTTCATGGGCCAGGTTGGAGTTTAGGAGCATTCGCTTTATCAAGAGAGCGTTGCTAATCATCTCTCTTTGTGCTGTTTCTACTACTTGTTACGTACCTCTCACACAACTCGGCTCGCCCTATGATTGCACGGTGCAGATTCCGTATTCAGGTCCAGGCCCAGGCCTGGACAGGTCATAGATCCGCCAGTGTTGAACCTGGATAATCTTCTGGGTGTGTTGGTTCTTCAATGACGCAACTGCGAATCCACTTTGCCACCGAGCGGCTGTGGCAGGCAAGGATTCTGAGCGCGGGTCTCCTTGGCCTGTTTGTTGGCATCTGGCCTGCTCAAACGGCATGAGCGCAGAGGATGCAACTAAGCCGGCAAAGCCGTCAGTAAGGCAGACACCACGACATGTGGCAAGCCATGGGTGTGTTTGCTGGAGCCATGGGCGTGTTCACTGGTGTTCTGCACGACCTCACTGCAATCAGCCCGAGCATCAGTTAATGATTGAGTTGGATTTCCAACAAAGACAGTAGGCAACATGTCAAAGGCAAGCCCGCGGCGCGTCGTAGCATGCCTCGGCACCACTCTTTTCCAAGCTGTTTTTTCTGTTTTCAAATCTGTCGACCTTCCGAGCAGAAAGCCGGTTCTTCCCGCCATCGCTTCTAGTACTCAGTAACTTGTAACTTCTGACCAAACTCGCGCAAAACCTCGCAGGGAGCTGCCGATCTTTCCTCTGCTGCTGCCTTGCTCTGAGCAAGACCGCGAGCGGTACATCCGCGTGATTTCGGGAGGTACCAAGACCAGCCATGGTGATGGTGTGCATGAAAGCATTGGGCAGGCATTGAGTGGAGACCATGTCAATGCCGAACCCCCATTCCTCCTCCCCAAGCCCTCGAAGCTTGAGGCTTCCCAACTGTCGAGACTGATTGCTGGAATCCTTTTGTTTGCAGTGTGACCCGCCTTCGCAAACAAGCACCGGACAATCACGGAATATCACGGATCTGTGTTGGGAAGATCCTGCAGGCTTTCTCTGCCAAACAAACACTCAATAACACTTCTCTAACCCCTGTGGAGACCATGAGTACGTGGCTTAGCTCTCAGGATCTTGCCGTAGAGTTGGACCGGGGCTGTCTTTGGTTGCACATGCTGTCACATGGAGGTTTGAATTGCAGTCCAACCTGCGGCCCCACAACAAACAACATCTGCACAGGTCGGGTATTTTGAATTGGGCGAGATAGATATTGCCGGTGCTAGAGGTTTCGGGTGGACCGGATACCCATCTCAGGCTTCTTGTTTTGGGTTGGGATGTTTCCTGGATAGCGGCTAGCGGTTGTTTGAGATTGGAATCCATGAGAGATGGGAGTCGAAGTCGGGAGCGCCTGACAATAGGAATGCCCTTTTTCCGAGACTCTTTTGCATCTCTTCTGTTCCCCACCGTGTCATCCCCGAACTTAGATTGAGATCAGGTTTAGATGAGGTTGTTTTCAGGCTTCATCGGTTTGTGGGGTTGGGGCTACCATTCAGTAGAGATCGAACAGTTCTAGACAATGTCTCAAATATCTGATTCGTTTCTCCTGCGAAGAGACCAGCAGGGCACCGGAGGGCTGGCTTCAGAAAATTCTGTTTTTCGCATGTCTGCGGTACAAGGCATAAAGATTGCGTTGTATTCACACTCCATATACGTAGACAATGAAAAGAAATAAGTAAGCGCCAAAACGATCGTTGTCACAGTTCGTTGTACCCGACAAGCACAGGCCCGTGTTTCAACGCACTCCCTATACAGGCATACATACATACATACA